AAACACACAACTACAAACACAACTACAAAGACACAATCACAAACACACAACCACAAACATACACACAACACACAACCACAAACACACACACACAAACACACAACCACAAACACAACCACAAACACATCCACAAACACAACCACAAACACACAACCACAAACACACAACCACAACCACAAGTACAAACACACAACCACAAAGACACAACCACAACCACTACCACAACTACAAACACATATATAATCACAAAGACACAACCACAACCACAACTACAAACACATAATCACAACCACTACCACAAACACAACCACAAACACATCCACAAATCCACAAACACACAACCGCAAACACACCTACAAACACAAAATCACAAAGACACAACCACAACCACAACTACAAACACACAATCACAAAGACACAACCGCAACCACAACCACAACTACAAACACACAAACACAACCACTACCACTACCACAAACACACAACCACAAACACACAACCACAAACACAACCACAAACACACAACCACAAACACAACCACAACCACAACACAGCACACAACCACAGCACACAACCCGAGGACCCACAAGCAACATCGAGAACTACAATACTGACGACTATGGCAACATGCTCCTCACTATGGCATCAAGACAAATGATTGAAATGTCATGGTGGGGATCACTCGAAGTAAAGTAATTTATTTTTAATTCATTCCACTGTTGGAAGTATAACAAGTTCTTGCGATGGAACAAGCTACTGAGGCTAGTGTTTGATCTGCATGGAAGAGCTGCCAAGGCACGACGACAAGAATACAGGAAGGGCTTGCGGCTTGTGTTTAATTGCCATGTTTTGATGCTCGAGGCATCGCAACTTTGTTAGTTCTCTTTGTTTTTTAACTGCAAACAAAGAAGCTTTACTGTAAATACCAATAGTGTATGAACATCATGACTACAGACTACTGTGTAATATACATACATATATACATATATACAGACATACGTACGTACGTACAGACAGACAGACACACAGACAGACATACAGACATACACACACATCCATACATCCATGCACGCATGCATCCATGTACATACATACATACATACATGCATACATGCATACATACATGCATACATCCATACATACATGCATACGTCCATACATCCATACATCCATCCATCCATCCATACATACATACACACATGGCTCGAGGTTTCGAGGTCTCAAGCTGGCAGCCCCCATAAAGACCAGCTAGTGTGCAGCCCGCGGCGTCCGCGGCGTTGCACCATTTGATACATTGAGGGTTCCCTTGGCATCACCGCCATTGTGCTCCACCTGTACCTTTTCCTTTGCTCGTCATAGCGGGGGAGAAGGTCACAGGCATCACTACCAGGTGATCTACCACATCGGAACCTCAACCAGCGGGATCTCGTGAACCAGACTGGTGCTACATCCCTGAAGACTCCTCAGGCCACTTCGTGGACTGTGCCAAACACCTTGCCTCCTTGACCTTATCTGCCACACAGGATCCTGACCTATGACGCCGTCCAAAACTTCCACCTGGTGCAGGACGTGCACTGTCTGCAGTCACAGCTCTTGCAGGAACTGGATATGGCAAGACAAGCTCCAACCAGGTACGAGATGCAGACGGTGCGGTACATGGTGGACCACTGGCGCCGCCACCACAGGAAAGGGCAAAGGACAAGGACATGGAGGCCGAGCACCACACACCACCAGGAACACGACGTGGCCAAAAAAGGCTTTGACGGACTCACCACCCGGTCTTAGCAGACCCAAGCCACTACGCAAACCCAAAGACCAGCAAACGGCAGCTGAACTTCTCACAGCCACGTGGGATGTCATCCCTGAAGACATTCAGCACAAGCTACAGGCCGTGGGACTCGGACCACAACCCCCAGAGGAGCCGGCTTTGACAGACATCTTGAAGACTCACATGTCGGCCCTACCACCAGAGGTCCAGGAAGTGGTAATTCGGTTAACCGAACCATTGCCACAAACTGAGAAAGACATTGTGCAACAGCTTGAGCTGCAGGTTACGCAATTGAAGACCCAGTCCATCCGCAAAACCCAACTGCAGACCAAGCTGGATCAGGTGAAGAGCCAATATGCAGCTATGCTGCAAGCTCAATGAGGGGCAGCAAAAGCTCAAGGGGCTCTCGGACCAATATATGAAGCTGGTCAACCAAACACCGCACCCTGAAGCCCTCAAGCCGGATACACCTGAGGAGGCACCCATTCCCACGCAGTAGAATCTTTTGTCACGAGTTTGGGCATTTCACTGACTGAAGAGCAGCGAAATCAGCTCCATGGCCTTCTCAAGCGCCCCAGCACCGACGGGGAAGACCCCAGCAAGCGCCTTGGAAAACAGAGGGTCAGGCAGCACCTCCGACAGGGGGGGCAGTGTGGGAAACAGGGACAACAGATTCTTGGGGACACTTCAAGGGCTTTGGGTGCCAATTCCCCTTGACGATTTTGACGAGGCACCACACACACCGGATGCAGCACACCAGCCAAAATGGGTTTGCCGTGCTGCCTCAGGCTCAGACACTGATGTTTATCCAGTTGACCAGTGTGCAGGGGACATGGCGCATGACACAACTGGGACCAACCAAATCCTTTCAAGGGCTTTCCACACCTCCCACGACGGGGTTATGTCATTCCCAGGTGATGGAGAACACTCTGAATCTCTTTCTCAGGTGATGCAATGTCAACAGTTTTGCTTTCGACTTCCTCTGAGCCAACTCGTCGGGCGGGTCATGGACCCGATTTTGTTCCAATCTGGGGAGGAGCAGCTACCAGCAGTGCGGAGTACACTGCCACTCAAAACAACCTAACCATGCCACAAGACTATGCCACCTCCACGGACTGCCTACTGCAGAACCTCACCATGGCCGTTGGCAATCCCAGTGCTTGCTGTTATGCCAATGCTCCATGGCGCGATATGCGCGCTACTACAGGAAACCAGCACTCAGCCATGGGGCACTTTGCAAGAGGCAGTCCAAGAGTCCCTCGATAGCAGAGGCAGTGGATCTCCACCAGCTGCCCGGACTCCAAGAGCTCTGGAAACAACATGATCTGAATGTACAAGGTGACGCAAGCCACTTCGTGAACTCGCTCAACATCCAACACTGGTCCCATACCCAGATGATTGGCCAGAAGATGTCTCGTTCCAGGAGTTGATCAACAATTGGGCCAACCAAGGCATGGGCCAGACTTGATGGACGACAAAAAGGTGCTAATATGCCATGTCGCCCGGAACACCAGTGTCAATGACATTATGACCAAGCGCAACAAACCCTTCAACCCGTACGGCAACTTCACCCTGCCGCGCTCGCTTGATGGTTTTGCCAGGACATCAACAGAATTTGTTCCGGCAGTTCTGATCTGTCATCGTGGACCCAGCCACCAAGCAGGGCATTACTTTGCCATCCTCATATACAGTACAGGGACCTGATGTGGTTGGCGGATGATGGCAAGGTACCAACGCACCTACCACATTTGACGCCCAAACTAGCCAGCCAGATCACTCAGGTCTGGGCTGTCACTTTCAAGACACCCCAGCAGGTGCTTCAAGGAGTACCACCTCCAGGGAAGCCCGATTATGATCCACCGCTCTATCCTAGCCCTAACAAACGGGCCAGACACGCACAGGATCACAACCTTTTGCACTATGGCAATGTCACACACCTGGGAAGGCAGGTCATCGACGGGTACTGGACTCGTGAACCGGGGTTCATTTTTGCTGAACCCATTTTGATCCACAGCGGCGCCGTGAGCACTGTCAGTACTTTACCATCCGAGGAAGAACAGTCTTTGGAACTCCGGCGTGGCCCAATCCAGACAACTCAGGAACACATGGAGGACTACTGGTGATAGCAGACCCCTCCAGCGGCTTAACCGAGCTGGAGGCTTTCACGACTATCTTGGTGGCTGGCATCTACCTTCGCACCAACGAGACTTTGCAAAGTGACACCAATGCCACCAGCATTAAGAAGTTGATTGCATTGCTGTAGTGAGTTGGCCTGGGAGAGACCGTATAGAAACACGCCCATGCTACAGAGGATGGAGCAGCGCCTGCAAGATTGGGGCAACCTATGGCACATCAGGCAGGAAAACCAGCCCCCCCAAACGAGCTGCCCAGGCCCAGCACCTACTTGGAACCCGACAAAGCCAGTGGCCCAGATGCAGTCTCTACTCAGCTTTTGAAAAGTGCTCCACCATTGGCCTTGGGCGCACTGCTCCAGTTGTACCAAACCATGGAGGGACAAGCCTACCTAAAAACACCAAAATGGAGCGCCCCATCACCCTCACATCCGTACTCTGGAGGGTATGGTGTAGACTCAGAAAGCCGATCCTGGATCAGTTGCAAAAACAGTTGCCCATCTCCATGGATCATGGAGCAAGACCAGGTGCCAATGTCCTCCATGTGGCCTCAGAACGACTTCTACGCCAGGAAGCCCACAAAGCCAGAAACCGTCATGGAGTCACCGTCTTGGTGGACATGTCCACGTTCTATGACACGATCCAACTTGGAAAACTCCAAGGAGGCCCTCAAGCTCAACCGGACCAAAAGCGGTCATGGCAGAGCACAACATGTCCCGGCTGGCTGTCCACAGGCACCACTCCTGGCGAAAGCAGTACTGGCACCAGCTCTCATTCCCTGGAAAGAGCAGCATGCCCAGGTGTACCTCTCCAGCTGGGTTGATGATGTTGGTTTCGACACTGCCGGACAAACACCGCTACAAGTTGCTCAAGAGGCTGTTGCCGCCTACAGAGACCTCCATGCCAAGCTGGTGGACTTGGGGCTCAGAGTCAACCCCAAGAAGACGGCTTTCATTGCCACCGATAAGGCTACTGACAAAGCCCTGAAGAACCTCCTCACCCCACAAGAACCTCCTGTGACTTCGGTGATGCGAGACCTTGGAGTGGACCATCAGGCGGCCAGACGGAGGCGCATTCCTGTCCTTCGACAACGTTTCAACAAGGCCAAACAAAGGAAGAGGACCTGGCCCCAAGATACAGAACAGCCATGAGACAGGCCATGGCTACACACCTGGAACACCATGCCGGGGCTTACTTGATAGCGCCTACAATTACATCAGCAGGTGGACCAGACAAGCCACCCCTCTGCTGATGGAGAACGAGCTCTCCCTCCAAGACCCTTGGTGGAAAGTAGAGCAGATCCTGCTGCTGGAAGCTCGCAACCAGCGAACAGCCAGGTTGGCGCAACGGCCACATCATCAACACTTCATCACAGGCCTTGATTGGCAAGTTTTCAGACAAATGATCAGAAGCCTCCCTGCAGAACTCAAGCCCCACTTGAAAACATGGGTTCAAGGAGCGATTCATTTTCGAGAAGCTGGCCAACGCAAGCAATGCCCCATTTGCCAGGTCCCAGCTACACCGAAGCACATCCTCTGGCTCTGCAAATGGCACCATGGACAGGCGCATAATAAACCCATGCCTCCGGCGTGGGCGGAACGCATAATGCACCATGATGAAGAACCACTATGGAATGCAGCATGGATTCCTCTTGAACCACAAGAACACCTCCAGATACAGCATCAATACCAAGGGCATGGCACTTGGCAGGACCTCCAGGCATGGGGCCACACCAACACCAAGGCTGGGCATTCACACTGGATGCTCCTCCATCCAACGCAGTGGGTCTTTGGCCTGTGTGTGCGCACCCAGTCTCTAGGCCAGCTACAGCGGTTGGGGGCCTCACAGAAGTCCCTGGCAATCCCCAAACCAAAACCAGAGCACTCATAGCCGGT